CAAGGGCCCACCACATCCATCACCACCTCATCAAGTGGTGCCTTCGCCGTTGTCTCCGAGCTATGGAACGGGTAGCGGGTGAACTTGGCTTGCATGCATGTTGGACAGCCAAGCACCTCATTGGGCTCCCCCTTGACACGTATCCCACTGACCATCTCTTGCTTAACAATCTGCTGCAAAATGGGCAATGCCACATGCCCCATTCGCCGATGCAAGGTCAGCCAATCACACTCTCCCGTAGCGGAAGTCGGGTTGGAGAAAGCGGCACTCGCAATTGTGCCCCACAAGCTCTCTCCTTTCTCCTTCGCCGCTGCTGCTTTGCTGATCTTAGCCTTCTCCTCCTCATTTCCACCACCTTTGGCTGCTGCACCATTCTCCTTGGGTTCACACGCCTTGCTGGTCTCTCCAAGGTTGCACTCCTTCGAGTCACTCTTGGTGTCACTTTGCTTTCCGTGATCACCGCCACCAACCGCTTCACCTTGGTGCTGACGCTTGCTGCCACTTGCCTCTTTTAGGCATGGGGACCACTGGGATTTGCCACATCTTTGTAGATGTCCCTGTCCTCATGAAGGTCCCAAAGCTTCCGCTCACCAAGCCTTGCGGTATAGGTTTTGGATCCCTTGGAAGATGTGTCCATGCCGGCCTTTTGCAAACGCCGAACGGAAATCAGGTTGGCTGCTAGGTTGGGCACCAAAAGCACGTTCTTGAGGCCCACCATCTTCCCATCAGCACCCTTGAACATGGCCTTGCCCATGCCTTTCACCTCTGCTCGCTGCCCCAAAGCCGATGTAACATGCTTGACCGGCGACGGTTCGAGTTCGGTGAGCAAGTCCGCACGAGGTGTCATGCTGTATAGGTGGCGCCGCTATCGATCACCCAAAAGTCCAGAGAGTGAAGGGTGACCTTTCCCACAGTAGCTGGCTCCTCAAAGCCTTCCACACCTCCTGCTGCAGCTGCCGCTTGCGTGGAGACAAAGAAGAATTGGCCCGGGTATCGATCTTCACTCGAGTCCTTGTCGTAGTCTCCACCTTTCATGCTTGCCGCTTCGCTTCCACGACCACCACGGCCTCCACGACCTCTGCCTCTTCCTCCCCTTGCTCCTCTGCCCTCTTGGCCTTGAGAAGGGGTCCATCCATCAGGCAATCTGAAGCAATCTCTCCACATGTGGCCGGTCTTGTGGCAAAAGTGGCATTCGCCATCAAATCGACCGGCGCCCACACCCGTAGCCATTGTGTTGTGTTGCTGCCCATATCCTCCATTACCACGGCCTCCATTGAAGTTACTGCTGGCCAAATCTTCCTCCTCGCCCTCTGCCCCTTCCACGGCCGTGCCCACGGCCCATGCTTGCAACTCCGGCACCATCGGGACCCGCCAATTCGCGACGGCGGAAATCTTCTTGTAAGATTTCCCGCTTCACATCTTCGAGTGAGAGACGGGGCAGATCTCGATTAAGGTTGATGATGAGCGAGGACCATGAGTCCGGAAGTAAGGCCAGCAGCTTGGTCTTCTTTTGAAGGTCACTGTAGTTCAGGTCAGCTCCTTGAGCCGTGTCAACAAGTCGAAGATTTCTGCACTCCTTCCTCCACCGGTTCGCCTTCGTCAATTCGAAGTGCCGCCATTTGCCGCTCCAAAACCACAGCCACCGCCGCTGTTGCAGGAGCGTGTACACCCTTGAGAGCAGCCCATGCCTTTGGTCCCTTTGCTGGTTCACGCTGAAAAGGCTTGATGTGACGGATTTGGCTGCTCCCCAACGCTTGCCCAAGTAGAAGGTAGCCTTGTGCGCTCTTCCGCACCCACGGGCTCTTCTCCGGGTCGTTCTCGGGGCGCTTCTCCGTTCCTTCCATCACCTCCAGCAGATCATAGTGGTCAAAGATGTTCTCCATCTTGAAGGACCACTCAGCAAAGTTGTCACCGTTGAACTTGTCAAGGCCAAACACTCTAGGCTCATCCCTAGAGGGTCCAAGGCTAGGTTGCAACCGGAGCAACGGGTGGATCTTGGTGTTGACCTTGTGCTTGGGCGTCTTCTCTGCCTCCAGCACCTCTGCCACCCCCTTCCTCAGGTCTAGGCATGGTCGAGACGGCTCCAAGGGGCTCTGATACCACTTGTTATAGTCACAATAGGCTCAGATGTGCCTATAATGAGAGATAGAGAGCACAGTCGGATTTCCGTCAGACGGCTTCAAATATTGATAACGATCTGGTGGCTGAGTCAAACTGTGATCTGTAAGTTGGATCTGGAGCGCGTTGCTGTCGTCTATCAGCAGCAAGTTGAATCATGAAATTCCATGAAGATTTGACGACGCTATGGCGGTTTGACTGGCAGGAGGTATAGCAGCCACTATAGTCTTGGAAGTACAAACTTAGCAAGAAGAGTTCGAGAGGGAGATAGTTCCCAGCCTCTACATACCCCAAGAGCCTCTACACCACCACAGAGTCCCCAACCATGAAGAGTCTCGAAACCAACCCTCCAAGGGGCTACACCAAGTGAAATGTAACACTACACGAAGTAACGTTACTATTTTCACTATTTAATATTTATCCGCGTCCCTTGGGCTTGAAATCTTGAGCTCTTGTTCTTGGATCTGCAAGATAAATTCTTCTTGAGTTGATGGGGGCTTGCTGCACACACCTGCGACACGATGGACACTTCACACCGACAAAATAGAAAAAAACACATGCGACACACAAACGACGACTTGACATGCGAGTTGTAAAAACTCGCTAATGTCTTGACCGACACAAACCACATTGTGATACACCATTCAAACACACACACAAGCACTGGATAGCAATGACATAGACTCCCAATTCATTCCATGCCATGCATGCACACACACAAACAAGGACGACAAGCCGAGTGCAAGCCATAGGGTTGCACCAACAGGCGCTTCTATAGCCTTCGCCAATCGGACCGCCCCAATTTGTTCGCATGGTTCTCAACTAGCTCTGTTCATGCCTATAAATGCCTAGGCCCTCATTTGTATCGACACTCTTGAATCACGAATCCTTTATTACAGTACCTATTTTTACTCTTATTTATTCATAACAGCTGGTATTTGAGCCCCATTCCTGCCCACTGAGGCAGAACCGATCTTTGGGTCGGCCACGATCTGCACGTGGAAAGCATGGGGCGAAGCATTGAAGAGCCACTTCGAGCACATATCCATGCGCAAGAACGCTCGCACAAGGCTTCGGATGTGGAGACAGCTGGGCTCTGTTCAAGAATACACGGCTTCGTTCCTGGCGTTATGCGATCTAATCAGAGGGCTTGGCGAAGACGAGAAGATCGATCGCTACGTGGGTGGTCTCAAGCGAGAGATTCAGCAAGAGATCGTCCTGCGAGCCCCGGCAACATTCATTTGACTACAGCGCCTTGAATCGGGTTACCATCAAGTATCGCTACCCCTTCCACGTGCAGACGACCTCATCGACCAACTTCGCGGGGCCAGATTTTTTTCGAAGATTGACTTGCGAGGCGGTTACCACCAAATTTGCGTGCATGAAGCTGACTGCTCCAAGACGGCTTTTCGGATCCGGTACGGGAGTTACGAATACACGGTCATGCCCTTCGGCTTAACAAACGCGCCTTCGACATTCCAGTTGACCATGAACGAATTTTTTCGGCCATTGCTGGATCAGTGCGTCATCGTGTACCTCGACGACATTTTCATCTACAGCACAACCTGAGATCAGCATTTGAAGGATTTGGAAGCGGTTTTCTCTCTCCTGCAGCAGAAGCGACTAATCACCAAAGGCTCCAAGTGCGAGTTTCTCAAATACGAACTGGAGTATTTGGGTCACGTGATTTCCATCGATGATGTTAAAATAGACTCCAAGAAGATCGCGACAATCCAAGAATGGAAGCGCCGGCTGATCTACGCGAACTTCAGAGTTTTCTGGGGTTTGTTAATTACGTCGTTTCATTCCGAACATGGCGGAGGTAAATTCCCCTCTCACGGATCTCCTGAAAAAGGGCACGTTTTTTGAGTGGGGGGAAGAGCAGCAGGCTGCGTTAAAAAGCTCAAACTTTTCCTGACGACCCCTCCAGTTCTTCGAATTGCAGATCCTCACCGTCCATTCGAGCTCATAACCGACGCTAACGATCTGGCCGTCGGCACAGTCCTGTTACAAGACTTCGGCGAAGGCCTACAACTGATCGCCTACAAGTCACGAAAGCTGAACCCGGCCGAGCGAAATTATCCTGTCCACGACAAGGAGTTACTCGCAATCGTTCACGCTTTCAAAGTCTGACGCTGCTATATGACGGGCGCTGACATAACAGTCCGAACAGACCACAAGTCACTACAGTTCATCCGTGCCCAACCGACACTCAATCCCCAACAGATTCGCTGGCTCGACTACCTCGAGTCTAATTTCCACTACAGGGTCATCTACAAAGGAGGAGTCAGCAACATCGCCGACGCACTGACCCACCCCTCGGTCCACACCGACGCCGTTCTAATTACCCAAGCTAATCCGCTGCTAACCGGCCTATTCACCCACGGATATAGTACTGACCCATTCTTCAACACTAATAGCCATCCCCAACTGACGGTCAAGCAAGGGGCCTATTACCTAAAATCCGGTACCAATCGGATTTGGGTTCCCGCCTACCGTACCCTATGGGAATTACTGATCTAGGAGGCACATGACTGGAATTTCTCGGGTCACTACGGCATCGACAAAACCGCGAAATTACTGAGCCATAATTATTACTGGCCCGACCTACTGACAGACATGCAGCAGTACGTCACCTCCTGCGCCACGTGTCAACGCATGAAGTCTTCCCGACTTCGACCTGCTGGATTGCTGCAGCCGCTCGAGCCACCCAGCCGACCCTGGCAACAAGTGACGATGGACTTCATCACTGGCCTGCCAGCTGGTTCAAGCGGTAACGACGCGATCCTCGTCGTCGTTGACCGGTTGACCAAAATGGCCCGTTTCGCCGCCTGCAAGACGACAAGTACTGCCGAGTAGACAGCGAAACTGTTCCTCACGAACATCGTGCTGCTACATGGCATCCCATCGGCAATCATCAGCGATCGTGACCCACGGGGTCACGTCCAACTTCTGGACAAAAACCTGGCAGCAGTACGGCACACGTCTGCACTCTGTCCACGGCATACCACCCGCAGTCGACGATCATACTGAGCGCACCAATCAAACGGATGGAGCAGCTGATTCGCACGACATGCACAGACCCGGCCCAATGGGAAGACGCCCTTCCCTTGATCAAGTTTGCGTACAATAATGCCCCATCGGCCGCAACTACTCAGTCCCCGTTCTTCCTTAATTACGGGATAGATCCGACAACCCCTCTATTGTCACCGATAGAAAATCCGGCCCAAAGTCTCAGCAGTTCGTCGAAAACCTCTGACAGTCTCAGCAAAAAGTCGCGAATGCCATCCTAAAAGCCAACCAGAGGGCTAAGCAGCAAGCATACCGACGACGCCGAGACTTAACACTTGTCCCTCGGCAATTGGTCCTGCTCGACACCAGGAATTTGGGAATCCCCTCTCAGAACTTAGGACACTAGCTTCTTAAGCTTAGGACACTAGCTTGGCTATGAAGCTAGGACACTAGGAAAGGCCGCCATGAAATGGCGGGAGGAAAGTAGATCTAGGAATGAGAGGAAGAAAAGTCGAGAAAGAAGAGAGTCTCGATTAGGAAGAGAGAGTGGTACAATGAGGGGGATTGTACCCTCTACAGAAAGGTTCAGTAACTACCAAGCCTATCAATTATATATAATTTATATAATCTTAACATCCCCCTCCCAAATAAATTACGACCAAGATTTTGCGGACCCTTCCGCGTCATTCGCATGGTGACACCAGTCACCGCCCATCTCCAACTGCCGACCGACAGGCGAATTCATGATTCGTTCCACATCAGTCTCATACGACCATTCGTCCCGAATGCGACCAATCTCGACCGAAAATACATTAATCCTACAGTCAACCCAGTACCCGAGCTGACGACAGCGCCATCCAAGATCCTCGCTCATCGCGTACAGGGACATCGAGACACAGCAGCCGTCGATTTCGTTGTACGCTGGGTCGATCGCACAAGTGACGACGACCTCTGGGTTCCCGCAGCCACGCTCGGTGAAAAACAGAGTTGTCCAGGGACTATTTATACCGACGACATGTCCCGGATGTGGGTAGCCTCATCCTAGAAGGGGGGGGTGGTGTAAGGAAACTCCCTTTTCCTTTCTGGGCTCGACTATAGCGCGTACGCCCTCGACTCTCGGAAGTCCAGGCCCGGCCAACTTATTCGGTCCCGAACCACTTCGCGAACCCAAACCTAGACGCGCGGCGCTTCTGTAGCTTCCGCCAACCGGACCGCCCCAACCTGTTCGCGTGGTTCTCGCTAGCTCTGTTCGTGCCTATAAATGCCTAGCCCCTCATTTGTATCAACACTCCTGAATCACGACTCCTTTATTACACTACCTGTTATTACTCATATTAATTCATAACACGTAGACCTGGTCGTTAGGCAGCCGAGGCCCCTTGGATTTTCCTTCACCATCTCACCACCTCGCCATCGAGCGCTGAACAAAATCAGACCGCACGTCACAATATTTAGTAGCAATTGCTCATCTGCGCAGCCGTGCCCTCCCCACCTCCGTGCACCTTCTCGGCCCCCTCCTAGCGCCCCCATCCTCCCGCCGCCTTTGGTGTCTCTTCGTCTTAGATCCCCCATTCCCCGTCACTCGTTAGTCGAGCGCGTCACCGCCATGCCCGCACCCGGCATGGGCGGCTTCCGCGACCTCGCTCCGCGCGCAATGGGTGCTCCGGGGAGGGGGGATGAGCGGGCGCTGAGGGACGGGGACGCGCAGGGAGCGCCGTTGCGGGACGGTGGGGGGTTCCGCAGCGGGGAGCGTACAGGGACGCGGGATGGGCATGAGGGACGCGGCAGCACCAGGTTACCGGGAGATGGGCGGCGCTGGTCCGTTTCCGCGACAGGGAGGTGGCTCCGGGGCACGATGGCGCCATGGCGGCGAGCGGCGGTGGAGGAACCTTGAACCGATTGTCAGGCAGTGGCAGCGGGGGAAACCTAAACCGTCTATCAAACGACACTGTAACGGGGATGATGACGTCAACATCGTCCCCGCCTCGGTACCGCCCCAACGCAGCTGCAGGCGGGCCGGCGTTTTTGGGGTCGCCGGCCATGAGCGACGCCATGGGCATGGGGGGAGGCATGGGACCGCCCATGGCGGGCGCGATGGGGGGGCCGATGGGGGCCAGCGGCAGAAGCGGCGGGGCAGCAGCGCGCGGTACTACTACCAGTTGGTGGCGGTGGTGCGGCAGAACCTGCCTTATTTGGTGATCGCGCTGCTGCTGGCCGTCATCGCGCTCATGCGCACGCCCGCCCCCGCCCCCGCCGCCACGCCCGCCGCCCTCGCCACCGGCCCTCCCTCGCAGCAGGCGGGGCGGACCCCGCAGCAGCAGCGGGGGGTGCGGCAGGGGGAAAGCAGGTGTGAACGGGGCGGGAATGGGAGGGGGGACAGCAGGGACGGCAGGAGGAGGGGCAGGGGGGGGGGGCAGGGGGAGGAGGGGCGAAACCAGGGGAGGTGGCAGGCAGACAGGTGCTGCAGGGGGCGGGGCGGGCGGCGGGGGCAGTGCCCGCTGCCACGGCAGGCACAGCAGCGGGGAAGGCCGCGGGCGGAGCAGGGGGGGGGTCAGGCGTGGGGGGACTGTCGCTGGGGCTGAGTCGGTTTGGGCTGGGCGGCGGCAGAAGACGAACCTGATCAGCATCCTCAAGGCCAACCCCGACGCCGTGGAGGCGCGCGAGGCCACGCGCAACTACCGGTTCAGGGAGCACGCGCCGGTGTACGGGCTGGTGCACTTCGCGAGCTACCGCATGAGCGCCGTGAAGTTCGCCATCGTGGGGCTGGCAGGGCGCGCGCTGAGGGAGTCGCGGAAGCTGGGCAAGTGCCTGTGGAAGGAGAAGAACGGCGGACACCGCGTCACCGGCACTCTCACAGGTGGGGTGGTGCTGCGTCACAGGCACACTCACAGGTGGGGGTGGTGCTGCATCACAGGCACACTCACAGGTGGGGTGGTGCTGCATCACAGGCACACTCACAGGTGGGGTGGTGCTGCATCACCGGCACACTCACAGGTGGGGTGGTGCTGCATCACCGGCACACTCACAGGTGGGGTGGTGCTGCATCACAGGCACACTCACAGGTGGGGTGGTGCTGCATCACAGGCACACTCACAGGTGGGGTGGTGCTGCATCACAGGCACACTCACAGGTGGGGTGGTGCTGCATCACAGGCACACTCACAGGTGGGGGTGGTGCTGCATCACAGGCACACTCACAGGTGGGGTGGTGCTGCATCACAGGCACACTCACAGGTGGGGTGGTGCTGCATCACAGGCACACTCACAGGTGGGGTGGTGCTGCATCACCGGCACACTCACAGGTGGGGTGGTGCTGCATCACCGGCACACTCACAGGTGGGGTGGTGCTGCATCACAGGCACACTCACAGGTGGGGTGGTGCTGCATCACAGGCACACTCACAGGTGGGGTGGTGCTACATCACAGGCACACTCACAGGTGGGGTGGTGCTGCATCACAGGCACACTCACAGGTGGGGTGGTGCTACATCACAGGCACACTCACAGGTGGGGTGGTGCTGCATCACAGGCACACTCACAGGTGGGGTGGTGCTGCATCACAGGCACACTCACAGGTGGGGTGGTGCTGCATCACAGGCACACTCACAGGTGGGGTGGTGCTGCATCACAGGCACACTCACAGGTGGGGTGGTGCTGCATCACAGGCACACTCACAGGTGGGGTGGTGCTGCATCACAGGCACACTCACAGGTGGGGTGGTGCCTGCATCACAGGCACACTCACAGGTGGGGTGGTGCTGCATCACCGGCACACTCACAGGTGGGGTGGTGCTGGCCTCACAGGCACACTCACAGGTGGGGTGGTGCTGCATCACAGGCACACTCACAGGTGGGGTGGTGCTGCATCACAGGCACACTCACAGGTGGGGGTGGTGCTGCATCACAGGCACACTCACAGGTGGGGTGGTGCTGCATCACAGGCACACTCACAGGTGGGGTGGTGCTGCATCACAGGCACACTCACAGGTGGGGTGGTGCTGCATCACCGGCACACTCACAGGTGGGGTGGTGCTGCATCACCGGCACACTCACAGGTGGGGTGGTGCTGCATCACCGGCACACTCACAGGTGGGGTGGTGCTGCATCACAGGCACACTCACAGGTGGGGTGGTGCTGCATCACAGGCACACTCACAGGTGGGGTGGTGCTACATCACAGGCACACTCACAGGTGGGGTGGTGCTGCATCACAGGCACACTCACAGGTGGGGTGGTGCTGCATCACAGGCACACTCACAGGTGGGGTGGTGCTGCATCACAGGCACACTCACAGGTGGGGTGGTGCTGCAACACAGGCACACTCACAGGTGGGGTGGTGCTGCATCACAGGCACACTCACAGGTGGGGTGGTGCTGCATCACCGGCACACTCACAGGTGGGGTGGTGCTGCATCACCGGCACACTCACAGGTGGGGTGGTGCTGCATCACAGGCACACTCACAGGTGGGGTGGTGCTGCATCACAGGCACACTCACAGGTGGGGTGGTGCTACATCACAGGCACACTCACAGGTGGGGTGGTGCTGCATCACAGGCACACTCACAGGTGGGGTGGTGCTACATCACAGGCACACTCACAGGTGGGGTGGTGCTGCATCACAGGCACACTCACAGGTGGGGTGGTGCTGCATCACAGGCACACTCACAGGTGGGGTGGTGCTGCATCACCGGCACACTCACAGGTGGGGTGGTGCTGCATCACCGGCACACTCACAGGTGGGGTGGTGCTGCATCACAGGCACACTCACAGGTGGGGTGGTGCTGCATCACAGGCACACTCACAGGTGGGGTGGTGCTACATCACAGGCACACTCACAGGTGGGGTGGTGCTGCATCACAGGCACACTCACAGGTGGGGTGGTGCTACATCACAGGCACACTCACAGGTGGGGTGGTGCTGCATCACAGGCACACTCACAGGTGGGGTGGTGCTGCATCACAGGCACACTCACAGGTGGGGTGGTGCTGCATCACAGGCACACTCACAGGTGGGGTGGTGCTGCATCACAGGCACACTCACAGGTGGGGTGGTGCTGCATCACAGGCACACTCACAGGTGGGGTGGTGCTGCATCACAGGCACACTCACAGGTGGGGTGGTGCTACATCACAGGCACACTCACAGGTGGGGTGGTGCTGCATCACAGGCACACTCACAGGTGGGCTGGTGCTGCATCACAGGCACACTCACAGGTGGGGTGGTGCTGCATCACCGGCACACTCACAGGTGGGGTGGTGCTGCATCACAGGCACACTCACAGGTGGGGTGGTGCTGCATCACAGGCACACTCACAGGTGGGGTGGTGCTACATCACAGGCACACTCACAGGTGGGGTGGTGCTGCATCACAGGCACACTCACAGGTGGGGTGGTGCTACATCACAGGCACACTCACAGGTGGGGTGGTGCTACATCACAGGCACACTCACAGGTGGGGTGGTGCTGCATCACAGGCACACTCACAGGGGGTGGTGCTGCATCACAGGCACACTCACAGGTGGGGTGGTGCTGCATCACAGGCACACTCACAGGTGGGGTGGTGCTGCATCACAGGCACACTCACAGGTGGGGTGGTGCTGCATCACAGGCACACTCACAGGTGGGGTGGTGCTGCATCACAGGCACACTCACAGGTGGGGTGGTGCTGCATCACCGGCACACTCACAGGTGGGGTGGTGCTGCATCACAGGCACACTCACAGGTGGGGTGGTGCTGCATCACAGGCACACTCACAGGTGGGGTGGTGCTGCATCACAGGCACACTCACAGGTGGGGTGGTGCTGCATCACAGGCACACTCACAGGTGGGGTGGTGCTGCATCACAGGCACACTCACAGGTGGGGTGGTGCTGCATCACAGGCACACTCACAGGTGGGGTGGTGCTGCATCACCGGCACACTCACAGGTGGGGTGGTGCTGCATCACCGGCACACTCACAGGTGGGGTGGTGCTGCATCACCGGCACACTCACAGGTGGGGTGGTGCTGCATCACAGGCACACTCACAGGTGGGGTGGTGCTGCATCACAGGCACACTCACAGGTGGGGTGGTGCTACATCACAGGCACACTCACAGGTGGGGTGGTGCTGCAACACAGGCACACTCACAGGTGGGGTGGTGCTGCATCACAGGCACACTCACAGGTGGGGTGGTGCTGCATCACAGGCACACTCACAGGTGGGGTGGTGCTGCAACACAGGCACACTCACAGGTGGGGTGGTGCTGCATCACAGGCACACTCACAGGTGGGGTGGTGCTGCATCACAGGCACACTCACAGGTGGGGTGGTGCTGCATCACAGGCACACTCACAGGTGGGGTGGTGCTGCATCACAGGCACACTCACAGGTGGGGTGGTGCCAGTGAGGAACGTCGGAGTTGGTGGGTATAGCAGGCGATCATCATGCTCAGTATGTCTCTGCTTGCCCGAGTCATGCATGTTTCATTTCTCTGCGTGCTCATGCATGTTTCTAAGCATGCGCTAAGCATGCACGTTGCACGCCTCCCGTGCGCTTATCATGCATGTTGCAAGTCTCTGCATGCTTTGATCTTGCATCTTGCATGTCTCTGCTTGCCCTTATCATGCATGTTGCATGTCTCTGCATGCTTTGATCTTTGCATGTGGCATGTCCCTGCTTGCCCTTATCATGCATGTTGCATGTCTCTGTATGCTTTGATCTTGCATGTTGCATGTCTCTGCTTGCCCTTATCATGCATGTTGCATGTCTCTGCATGCTTTGATCTTGCATGTTGCATGTCTCTGCTTGCCCTTATCATGCATGTTGCATGTCTCTGCATGCTTTGATCTTGCATGTTGCAGGTCTCTGCCTGCCCTTATCATGCATGTTGCATGTCTCTGCATGCTTTGATCTTGCATGTTGCATGTCTCTGCTTGCCCTTATCATGCATGTTACATGTCTCTGCATGCTTTGATCTTGCATGTAGACATGGGTATATCGCATCGTATCGCGATATGTCGCATCGCATTTTATCGCATTTTGCGATTGCGATTTTTATTTTTTTTTACTAAAAATCGCAGGGATGCAATGTGATAATATCGCGCGATTTTTGCGATATCGCGCAGTTATCGCGGATTTTTCAGCGCGATATAACGCGATATGCGATATTAAAATATCGTGCGCCATACATCCGCATATCGCGTCGCGGAATTGTGGCAGAAAGGGGGGAAACATGGGCGCGGGCCCTGAACTTGGCAAAAATTCGGGTTCTCTGGTTGTAATGGCGTGCGGAAATTGCGCGCGGCTGTTTGGGGTTGGCGTAATTGACGGGGAGGTGTTTGTGAGGAGCTTGGAGAGGAAGGGTTGGAAATTCTAGTTGAAAAGGAGTGCAGTGCGGTTGAGGGAAGGGAGTTGGTTGGAGGTTCAAATTTTGACATGGGTGGTGGTGGATGGAATGTGGTGGTGTGCGGTTAAAGGGATTTAGGGGTTGATGGAAATCTCGATCCCCACTAAGTCAATTGGTTGGAAGTCCAACCAATTTCCACCACTTCAACCGCACTACATTCCTCCACATCTACGGAATCCAACCCCTGCCCTTCTAACACGCTTTAAATCAGAGAGGGGCTACGATTTCCCATTCTCCCCTTAAACTTCACTCACCTAATTCCTCGCACACCTAGGAAAGCCGGCCTTGTCGTTCTGCTTTTCTCCTCCGACCCCTAAATGTGATGCGATATTAAATCGCATTCATGGGTGCGATATTTTGTAACATGGCACCCTAAAAAGCGATATGCGATTTCAATTTTTGAAACCAGCGATGCGATATCGCATCGCTGCGATATCACGCGCGATATGACAAAATGCGATGCGATATCGCATCGCATCGCATTTTAACCATGTCTACTTGCATGTTGCATGTCTCTGATTGCCCTTGTCATGCATGTTGCATGTCTCTGCATGCTTTGATCTTGCATGTTGCATGTCTCTGCTTGCCCTTATCATGCATGTTGCATGTCTCTGCATGCTTTGATCGTGCATGTTGCATGTCTCTGCTTGCCCTTATCATGCATGTTGCACGTCTCTGCATGCTTTGAACTATCATGTTGCATGTCTCTGCTTGCCCTTATCATGCATGTTCACTGGCGCATGCTGCTTGCTTATCCTGCTTGTGTGGCAACCCTCCAAGGTTTGTCCACCACCATACGCCCACTTCATGCCGCCCTTCCCTCCCGGCCGCCCCAGCATACTACCCGGGCGAGCACCACAACCTGCGGTACGAGGCGGTGGTGCTGGTGTGCGAGCTGGAGGAGTCCACGGAGGCGGACTACGGGGGCTGCTGCTGGCGACGGTGGACAAGGAGGACGTGGTGGCGTACCTGGAGGAGGCGCACCACTTCCCCTCCGCCACGCCCAAGGCGCCCTTCAAGTACCAGCTCACGTACTGCTCGCCGCCGCTGGCGGGCAAGATCATCCCGCGGCGCATGTACGAGTGGATGGAGTTCCACCTGCACACGGCCGTCGACCGCATGGTGCTGTACGACGCGGGCGGCATCGGCGCGGCGCTGATGGCGGTGCTGGAGCCGTACACGGAGCAGGGCTTGGTGGAGGTGGTGGACGTGCGCGGGATCACTGCGTACGAGGCGTGGGAGAAGGGCCGCCTGCTCGTGCTCAACGACTGCGTGCAGCGCCACCGCTTCACCTCCAAGTGGGTCTTCTTCGCCGAGATGACCGACTTCTTCTCTGCCGCCAACGGCGAGACGCTGCTCGCCACCGTCAACGCGTACGACGGCCGCCCCTACGTCACGTTCGGCAGCCGCTGGTGGTCGTTTGAGAAGTGCACCTTCTCGTCGCTCACAGAGCGCATCGTGGTGCGCGGCGCCGCCATGCTGGAGGGCGCGGGGGCGGGCGACGAGGGCAAGGCGGACGGGGGGGATAGCGGAGGGCGGCGCGGGGGAGGGCGGTGTGCAGGTGACGGAGGGCGCGGAGAAGGCAGCGGTGGAGCAGCCGTGGGCGTTGGAGCGCATGCTGTTCCGGTGGCCGCACATCTACTGCACCAACAAGGAGGCGTACCCGCGCTGGGAGCTCTGCCTAGACTACCACGGCTTTCGCCGCGTGGCGGCGGACCCGCGGCAGGTGATAGCGGTGCAGATCCACCGCGTGGAGGTGCCGCGCATGGGCGGTGTGGACGTGGACACGGACGCGGCGCGCTTCAACCACTTCCAGGGGCTGCTGGAGGACGAGCGCAAGTTCTGCATCAAGAGCGTGCGCCCCGGCGAGCAGCTCGAGTGGTGGGTGCGCGATCAGTCCCTGGCGCTGCTCGCACAGGAGGCCAGGCAGTCGCCGCGCGCCAAGTTCAAGACCAGAGGGGGGTGAGAGGGGGGGGGGGAGGGGGAGAGTTGGGTAGGGGGGGTGAGGAGGGGGAGGAATGGGGCGAGAGATCTCCATTGTGGAGCCATGTATTGGTGGACATGACCTGATGTTGTGGCACATCTGTTCCAACAGGGTGGTTGTGGTGTCTGTTGTAGTATAATTTATACTTACCATTTCTGTAAGTCGTTTATCGATAGGTAGTGTCGAATCCTACTGTAGAAGATAAGTCCGTAGGATGACGTCAGCAAATCGGTAGCGCTCGTCATAGGACAATCGTTTTCAGTCACGCGATCAGTCGCACCTCTTCATTATCATTTAGGGCGCATAGCGCGATAGTGACGAACAGGTACATTTGCGAACAGGTACTTTCCTAGAGCTATAAATCCTTGTTACGGTATGCCTTTTTCATTATTAACTTTTGATTACCGTACTCACAAGTTCACGTACTCAGGTTATTCAACCTTGACTGCTACATTTTACAAGACTTCCGCAGTCTTACTAGTCTACCATTCCAGTAAAGATCCTAGGCCAACACTTGAGGTTTTCCAAGTGTTCGTGTTTGCAGATTTATACTTAGTCTCCTGCAACACCTGACAAATCATTACATGGTATGAGAGCTATCTGGAATTAAGACTACTGTCAACAATGACTGGAGCATCACCAGCACCATCTACTGGATCTAGTTCTGGAACTACTGGAGTACATGTCTCCACGACCGCCACTGGTCTCTCAGCCTCTGGACCGTTTCCACCGGCTTATGCGAACATCGGCATGCAGCAGCAGCAGCAGAATCCGCCTTCTGTCTGTACTCCGGGGGGTTTCATCGACTGCACCTGCAGCGCAACAGCAACAAACACAGTCAACAGCACAACAACAAGCAACAGCACAACCACCGTTTTCAACACAGTCAATATCATCGGCGTTAAGTGGAATGAGCCTTGACGGCTCGAGTTATATGCGTGGAGCCACAGCTCCAAGTGTCAAACATGTGTATTTGTCATGTTTGTATAGACTGTATAGAGTCACCTCTTAGAGGATACAAAACTTAGATATATTTGTGTGTACTCTCACTTTACATAATCATTCAATTCTAAGTTTCTGATATGGTATCACGCGTAGGTAGGATCCTCCCCACCTACCGCTTCCGCTCATCCCCCCTGGCCCTGTAGCGCCCCCCCTCAGGCCCGTCGCGCCCCTCCCAGGCCCTCTAGCGCCCCTCCTGGGCCTCGTCGCGTTCCTCCCAGGCCCCGTAGCGCCACGTCGCGCCCCTCCTGGGCCCCGTAGCGCCCCCCCCCTGGGCCTCGTCGCGCCCCTCCTGGGCTTCGTAGCGCCCTCCTGGGCCCTGTACCGCCCTCCCAGGACCCGTCGCGCCCCTCCCAGGCCCCGTCGCGCCTCTCCCAGGCCCTCTAGCGCCCCCCCCTGGGCCCCGTCGCGCTCCTCCCAGGCCCCGTAGCACCCCGTCGCGCCCCTCCTGGGCCCCGTAGCGCCCCTCCTGGGCCTCGTCGCGCCCCTCCTGGGCTTCGTAGCGCCCCTCCTGGGCCCTGTAACGCCCTCCTAGGCCCGTCGCGCCCCTCCCAGGCCCCGTCGCGCTCCTCCCAGGCCCCCTAGCGCCCCTCCTGGGCCCGTCGCGCTCCTCCCAAACCTCGTAGCGCCCCTCCTGGGCTCTGTCGCGCCCCTCCTGGGCCCCGTCGCGCTCCTTCCAGGCCCCGTAGCGCCCCTCCTGGGCTCTGTCGCGCCCCTCCTGGGCTCCGTAGCGCCCCTCCTGGGCTTCGTAGCGCCTCTCCTGGGCCCCCCGTCGTGCCCCTCCTGGGCCAAGTAGCGCCCCTCCTGGGCCGCGTCGTACCCGTCGCCGCCGCCCGGCCCCGTCGCGCCCGCCCGGCGCCGTCGCGCCCGCCCGACCCCGTCGCGCCCGCCCGGCCCCGTCGCGCCCGCCCGGCGCCGTCGCAGCTGCCCGGCCCCGTCGCACCCGCCCGCGCCGTCGCACCCTGCCGGCCCCGTCGCGCCCGCCCGGCCCCGTCGCACCCTGCCTGGTCCCGTCGCAGCCGCCCGGCCCCGTCGCACCCACCCGGCCCCCGTCGCACCCTGCCCGGCCCGTCGCAGCCGCCCGGCCCCGTCGCACCAGCCCGGCCGCCGTCCCGCTCGCCCGGCCCCGTCGCACCGGCCCGGCCCTGCCGCACTCGCCCGGCCCCGTCGCCCCAGCCCGGCCCCGTCGCGCCCGCTCGGCTCGCCCCGTCCCGGCCCTGTCGCCCAGCCCGGCCCTGCCCCGGCCCCGTCCTCCTCACTGGTACGGTTCCCCCCCCCCCCCCCCGCCCCGTGCCGCCCTGCCCGCCACCGCACTGTACCGCACTGCACCGCACTGTACCGCACTGTACGCACTGCACCGCACTGCATCGCACTGCACCGCACTGCACGCACTGCACCGCACTGTATCGCACTGCACCGCACCCCACCTAGCTGCACCGCCCTGCACAGCACTGGACTGTTCCTGATGGCGGCGGAGCTTCGCTTCGACGCTGAAGGTCAGCCCCTAGAGTTCGAGGCGTGGCTTGCCGACCTCCGCCGCCAACTCACTGGCCAGCGGCAGGATGGTGAACCGCTTTCCGCACACCTTGACGGTACGCTCCCCTGCCCAGACCCTCCTGCTATTCTGCCCGCTGACCCCACACCCACTGAGCGTGAGTCTACTGCTGCCACTGCCCGTGCGCGCTCTGTCTGGCTTTCTCGCGATGCTGTCGCCCAGCTTGCCATTAGCAACGCCCTTCCCCCGTCCGAGCGCCCTCGCTTTAGGTCCCTCACTACTGCTCAGGCATACTTAGATGCTGTCATCAAGCGCTATTCCACCCCTCCGGCTGCCTCGGTGGGTCGCCTGATCCTCCCACTGCTCTTTCCTGACCTTGCTTCGTTCCCCACTGTCTCTGACCTCGCTGCCCACCTGCGCTCGATAGAGGAGACCTGGCGCGCCGCCTGCACTGACACACAGCTTAGAGCCCACCAGCCGCCCATTGCCTCTACCCTCTACCTGCTTGCCACCCGCCTCCCTGACCGCCTTGCTGTCGCCCGCGACCGCTTCCTTAGTGTTCACCCCGCAGACCTCACCCTCACTGACTTTGTCGACACCCTGACTGTGATAGAGACCCGTCACCGCTCCATCGCCCAGGCGAGCGGTGTCGTGCCGGTCCCTATCTTTCAGGGTTGTGCCCCCGCTCAGTGTACCTTCTCCGACGGCTCTGCCGCAGTGGCTGAGACTGCTGCTGCAGCGCAGGCCCGTTCTGGGAAGGGCCGCCGCCCCAAGGCTGGGCGCGGCGGAGGGGGCGGCGGGGGTGCGGGCGGGGGTAGTGGTGGGGTCGGGTCGCCTGGTGCTGGAGCGGACGAGGGACCCTGCCCAGTCCAGCTGAGTCGCCGCCCCTGCAGTTGCAGCAGCCGCAGCAGCCGCCGCAGTCGCAGCCTTCGCAGCAGCCGCAGCAGCCGTCGCAGACGCGGCAGATGAGTGTTCTCCCGCCAGGGTGGCCCGACGCTGGCGGTGGACGGGCGCGTGGTGGTGTGCCGCATGGTGGCTCTGCCGGCCGGCGTTGTCAGTACCAGATCCAGACCGGTCCTCGCCGCGGCTTCGTTTGCGGTAAGATCGGTCACTCCACTCCCCGCTGCTTTCGTCGCCTGGACGACCTCTTTCGTCAGCGTTTCGGCCCGTCGCCAGACCTCCCGGACTGGCACAGTTTGCTTAGTCGTCAGATTCAGATCTTTGATATGGACATGGATGCCATTGTTTCTGCTCTGCATGTGATGTATGCTGATGACTCTAGTGTGCTTCCGACTTATTACTCACTGTTGCCTAGTGTAGGTGTGCCTAGCTTAGCCTCCCCTGCTGCGTCAGGCGTAGGATCCCCTCCTTTGTGTAGTCTTGGTGCTTCTGCCGTCGTTCCGTCGCCAGACCCCTCGGCTTCGCTTTCCTTCACCTTGGACTCTGGCGCCTCTCGGTGTTTCTTCCGCGACTCCACCACCCTGACGCCGCTTCCTGTTCCTGCTGCCGTTTCTCTTGCTGACCCCTCCGGCGGTCCGGTAGTCGCCCGCAGTTCCACCACCCTTCCCTGTCCGGCGGTTCCTTCGGGCTCTCTTACAGGTCTGCATATCCCCTCGTTCTCCAGGAACCTAGTTGGTGTCGGCTGCCTCCAGGACCTTGGCGTCACCACTACGTTCCCTGGTCACGAGCGGTATGCTGTCTGTACCGAGGCCGCCACTGGTGCCCCCCTGTCCACGTTCCCCCGGGACCCGGTGTCCGGCCTGTTCACTCTGGACACCGTGCCCCCCCCGGCTGGAGCGCCCCCTCAGGTGGCTGTGTCTACCCAGGTTGCTGCTGCCTGCTCCTGTCGCTCCCTCACTCACCCGACCCTCCTGTGGCACCACCGCCTAGGTCACCCTGCGCTCCCGCGTCTGCGTCACATGTCCCAGCACGGTCTTGTCCTTGGTCTCCCAGGTTCACTCCCCGCGTTTCCCTCCTCCCCAGCTCCACCTTGCACGCCTTGTGTCGAGGGTCGGCTTCGCCGTGCCCCTCACTCCTCCTCGTTCCCCCCTACCGCCGCGCCGCTGCAGACCCTGCACATGGACGTCTGGGGCCCCGCCCCCGTCCATGGGCCGCGTCGAGAGCGCTACTTCCTTGTGCTTGTCGACGACTTCACTCGTTACACCACAGTCTTTCCCCTGGAGCGCAAGGCCGACGTGCCTGGCGCCCTCATCCCCTGGCTTGTCTCTGCGCGTGTCCACCGCGGTCTCCCTGTCTTGCGTCTTCACTCAGACCGTGGTGGCGAGTTTGCCTCAGGTGTCCTTGGTCGCTTTTGTCGTGCGGAGGGCATCACCCAGACGTTCACCCTACCGGACTCCCCACAGCAGAATGGGGTCGCTGAGCGACGCATCGGTTTGGTCATGGAGGTCGCTCGCACCTCCATGGTCCATGCCGGTGCACCCCATTTTCTGTGGCCGTTCGCTGTGCGCTACGCTTCTCACCAGCTTAACCTGTGGCCGCACCCTCAGCAGCCGCAGGTTTCGCCGACCCGTCTGTGGACTGGGTCTCCTGGTGACGCGTCTGCGTTCCACGTCTGGGGCTGCCTTGCTCACGTCCGTGCCTCCGGCACGGACAAGCTCACTGCCCGCACCCTTCCCTGCGTCTTCCTCGGTTTTCCCCTTGACGCGTCCGACTGGCACTTTTACCACCCGCCGTCTCACCGCTTCTTTCACTCTCGTGACGTCACCTTTGACGAGTCCGTCTCCTACTACCGCCGCTTCCCCCACCGTGGTCCCCCGGTTACCCCCCCCTGTTCCTGGTCACCCCTTCCCCGGTAGTCCCTGCCCCTCCTCCTCCTCCTCCCCGTCCCGCCCCCTCTGGTGTCTCCCACGTCGCCCCCCTTCCGTCCGTGGACCCGGTTGAGGAGTCTTCTGACTCTGGTGGCCCTCCGGTGCAGTTCTCGCCGGCCGCCCCTCCCCAGGTGTCCCCTCCCCAGTCCCCTCCTCCGCCGCCCCTGCCGCCACTGCAGCCGTCGCCGTCGCCGCCGCCGCCGCCGCCGCCGCCGTCGCAGCCCCCGTTCGCTGACTCTGGGGGTGCTCGTCCCGGTCGCCCTGAGGGTGGTCCCTCTGGGGGTGCGGGTGTGGAGAGTGCCGGTGGTAGCCGCGGCGCAGCTTGCGGTCCAGGTGTCGCCGTTGTGCTGCCGCAGCAGCAGTCCCCGCCGGTGTCCGCCCTTCGCCTGCTCGGCCTTCCGTCCCCCGACCCTGCGTCGGTTTCTCCCCAACCGTCTCCTCCTCTTCCTGTCTACGGCCCTGTTTTCCCTCCGCCGGACTCGTCCCCGGCCCGTCTCCCCCCTCGTTCCCCTCCTGTGTCCCCTCCCCTGTCTCCTGACCCGACTCCTCCGTCGCACGTCTGGTCTCACCGTCCCTCCCGTGCTCGTCCTGCCTCGCCTGTCCTGCGCTCCCACCCTATGTTGCTTCGTTCACACGCGTCTCGTCCTCCCCTTCTGCCGTTGCCTCCTCCGTCCTCCCTTGTTGTTGCGCCCCCCCCGCTGTCTGACTACCTTCGTGCCGCTCGTCCTCTCGTTCCTCGGGTCCTTGCCTCTCTCGTTACCGACCCGTCTGTTCCAGTCTCGTGCCTTGACGCTCTTGTCGCTGCTGTCGCTGACTTCGCCTCTACCCGCCGCCTTGACTACGCCACCGCTCTGGTCTCTGACCCTGCCTGTCCTCCGTCTGTCGGGGGTGCTCCTGCCCTTGGCAGTGACGTCCTGGAGGACCGCCAGTTTGAGCTTGCTTTCCTCTCCGAGGCTGCTCCCCATCTCTGTTCCATGCTGCTAGTCCCTGAGGGTGACCCAGACGCTTTCGACATCCCGACCCCTCGCACTTACGCTGAGGCGACTTCGGGACCCTGGGCCTCGCAGTGGATAGCTGCCATGGAGCAGGAGATGGCATCTTGGAGATCCACCGGCACCTTCGTCGACGCAGTTCCCCCACCTGGGGTGAACGTAGTCGATGGCCGCTGGCTCTTCAAGGTGAAGCGCCCTCCTGGAGAGCCGCCTGTCTTCAAGGCGCGCTATGTGGCTAGAGGCTTCAGTCAGCGCGAGGGGGTGGACTTCTTCCAGACTTTCGCTCCGACCCCGAAGATGACTACTCTTCGGGTTCTGTTACACCTAGCTGCTCAGCGTGACTACGAGCTTCACTCCCTCGACTTCTCCACTGCCTTCCTTCAGGGCAGCCTACACGAGCAGGTCTACCTGCGCCGCCCTCCGGGCTTTACTGGCACCTTCCCTCCTGGGACCCAGTGGCTCCTGCGGCGCCCCGTCTACGGCCTGCGCCAGGCTCCCCGTGAGTGGCACGACACTCTGCGTGCTACGCTTGCTGACCTGCAGTTCTTTCCGTCTTCTGCAGACCCTTCACTCTTCGTTCGTGGTGGCGAGACTCCGTTCTACATCCTCGTTTACGTCGACCACCTGGTCTTTGCCACAGCAGACAGGGACGCGCTGGCCTCCGTGAAGGCAGAGCTGCTGAAGAGACACACCTGCACTGACCTTGGAGAACTGCGCCGTTACCTTGGCTTGCAGATCTCCAGGGACAGAGCAGCGCGCACCATCACCCTGACTCAGTCACACTTGGTGCGCCAGGTCCTTCAGAGGTTCAGCCTTCAGTTCTCCTCTGCACAGCCCACCCCTCTGCCTGTAGACCACAGGCTCTCCGCTCCAGTGCCTGAGGAGTTGGTAGAGCCCAGCGGCCCCTACGCAGAGCTGGTGGGTTGCCTCATGTACCTGATGACTTGCACTCGCCCAGATCTCGCATACCCTCTCAGCATCCTGGCTCGCTTTGTGGCCACAGGCACACACCGACCGCAGCACTGGTCTGCCGCTAAGAGGGTTCTGCGTTATCTTGCTAGTACATCGGGCATGGGGTTAGTGCTAGGAGGACGCAGGCCAGCGGTCCTTACTGGGCACACAAACGCTTCGTGGGCAGACGACGCTGAGACACTCAGGTCTACCCAGGGCTACTGCTTCAGCCTTGGCTCAGGTGCCGTCTCGTGGAGAGCTACTCGCTCCTCGTCTGTTGCACAGTCCAGCTGTGAGGCCGAGATCTACGCCGGTGCCATGGCGGCACAGGAGCTCCGCTGGCTGACCTTCTTGCTCACTGACTTAGGTGAGCGGCCTAGCTCTGCCCCGGTCCTGTTCGCTGACAACAGGGCCATGATCCTCCTGTGTCAGGAGCCTCGACTCGAGGGCAGAGCGAAGCACATTCAGCTGCGGTACTTCCTCCTGCGTGAGCTACAGCAGCGACGTCAGGCTCGCGTAGTACACTTGGCCTCAGGTGCCAACACGGCTGATATCTTTACGAAGGCGCTTGCGCCTAAAGATCATCAGCGGCACTGTGTACAGCTTGGTCTAGTTCCTGTAGCCTCTCACTTGCTAGGACCTTGACTTTGTACTGTCCTTTATATGTATACTCAGACTGGACTTGTGTCCTCTCCCAGTGGCTGGACTAGTAGTGCCGCCCTGCTCTTGTGCTTGCCTTGTCTGTACTCCTTCTGACCGGTCGCTCAGACCCTTGCCTCAGAGGTTGGACTAGTAGTGCCGCCCTGAGCTGCTTGTTTAGGGTATTCCCTTATGCAGTCTAGGGGGTGTGTCAAACATGTGTATTTGTCATGTTTGTATAGACTGTATAGAGTCACCTCTTAGAGGATACAAAACTTAGATATATTTGTGTGTACTCTCACTTTACATAATCATTCAATTCTAAGTTTCTGATACCAAGTACTGGTTCGTTTGCTTTCTCACCTTTTGCGCAGCAGCCACAGTCACAGCAGCAGCAGCATCCCTTTTACATCTTCGGGCGTCCTCCTGCTCAGCAACAGCAACAACAACAGCATCAACAGCCACAGCAATTTCAGCAACAGCAACAACACTAATAGCAACAGCAGCAACAGCAACAGCCTCAACAACCGGGTATTATTTCTCAACCGCCAAATTTGCTTAACAGTACATAGATTAAAACCACCATACCTTTTAATGGAGTTGATTTTTACTCCTGGACCTTCGAGTTTGAGCTTCTGGCGCAGTCCGCTGGGCTATGGCCGTTCTTCACCGGTGAGTTTACTTATCCTGTTGTGGGAACACAACTAGATCAGCAGAGTTTTTTGCACGCCTCTCTCGGTGCGTATACAGTACTTGTACGGAACCTATCGCCGAAGGAGCAGTTCGGTATCTGATCGTTTCATTCAAGCTTTACACCAGCTGAAACTGCATGGAACCACTTGAAGGGGGTTTACATGGCAAAAGATACAATAACAGTGAGTAAGATTCTTTCGCAGTTAACAAGTGTGCAGATGATGACAAACGAGAACATCATGGATCACGTCAACCGCGTCCGTACACTACGGGATCAACAGGAGAACGTGGATCGTCGGATCGGTGCGGAATCAACGGCACGAATACAGCAGAGACTACACTATGGGAAATCATCATCATGGAGACAACATTCGGTACCAGCGACTGCACAATCGACGCATCTTCTGACTGGTGTCGATAACGATCGAGTTATTTTGACGAAGTCATCTTCGTTAAAAACAGATCGACATCAACACGACGGGATCTTCACCCAGGAAAAACAATGGAGCTGCGTGAAGACATGTTCTCCATCCACGAGACACTTTTTCATACAAATTGATCGACAAGTTATGGGATTGCAGAGAAGTAGCCGTTTTCTCTTGCAATGCTCCCAAGTTCAAGTTGCTGCAAAGGAGCAGATTTCGCACGCAACGACGACGCAGTGAACCCGTCTCGTCAAGGCCAGCGAGACACTACTTCGTAACAGGAGCTGAACAATTCGTTTTCATCAAGAATCTCAGCCATCCGAGGTGATTGATTGGAGAAGTCTCAACATCGACCTCACGAGGCGACACACCAATCATGCGTCGCGATTCCAGGTGTTAATGACCTGCGTGGAAGAAAATTCCGTGCACGTCACGATGCTTGACAGATTGAGGAGTAATTAACCTCTAATCCGGCAAGTACTCGTTCACTAGCGACCCTACGGCACATGCATTGGAGGCGATTCTACCAGAAGCCGAAGCGTTACAAGCACCAACGTAACTTCGACGATGCAGGAGAACGTCAAGGAACACGAGGTGTCAACAAATGAGGGAGATGCGGACTACTACAACACGATCACGCGCTCTACCGACCGTACATCGGAGGCACGGATGAGCATACCAGGAATTGCTACCCGTGGATACTTTGAGGGGAGAAGCAAATTTCTCTTCACACCCTCAAATGAAACAATCACCGGCAGCAATGGAGCAACACATGTGTACCAATGTGCACGTGTTCCTGGTAGTTACGCCTGTTACACCCATCAGGAACACTCTACTGGGAAGGGGGAGTTGATGGATTCTCCTTCAACCGGTATGAGTTAAGAGAATTCTCTGCAGCAGGTGCCGCCGTCGCCATCGTCGCAACCGCCACCGCCGCCGCAGCAGAAGACTCGACACAACATTCATATCCAAACCCTGATGGATGATTCTCCGCTCAATGGATATAATGCTGGATTATATTCCAGTGGATCGTAAAGACCCGGCCAGGCACTACATTGATTTCCAGCTAGTGGGAAGGAGATACCACTATGCGAGGAAACAACATGGCAATGCCATATACCCTCAAGAGCATCAGATATTTGCTCTTATGGGGATGGGAGGACCACGGTGCTCTACCGATATACAGTCCTCATGGCCTATGGCTTTCCTTAAAGTCATAAAACCTGCGTCGCAACCAATCCATCACCAGCACCAGCTCCACGGAAGCAGATAGGCGTGGAATGGAGCGCCGACGCCACTCCGGACAGTGGACTCCGCGTATCTCCAACAACACCCCTGTTTGCCGAAATGGAGCAGACTTCAACACCGATGCTGAGTAGCCGAGACGTCTTCGACTGCAACGCTACTTCAAGGACAGTGGCAGAATAAGACAACACATGATAGCACCAGAAGACCTATCCCAATATGTGCGCCCAGACACCGATGCCTACCAATGGCCTCCGTGCTAAACTGGAAGCGCATAAGGTCATACTGGATTGGCTGTCACCAATGCTCATTTGGAAATGGGAGAGGATTACTTGGGAATACCCGTAACGTTCCCAGATATCCTAACCCATCACCATGGGATATCTACGCAGCTGAGATTCCTTGCCTGAGCAACCACCGAGGGAAACTACTTGGCGCTGATTCTGGAAGTTACCAGCTCCGCGTTTATGGTTCCAACCCCTCGCATGGTTCTGAACACAAGGGATACGCTGAGCAGCACTTGGCATGTGCTGTTGTACTCAAGGCAGTGTGATTAGCAGATCGCGCGGTGGACAGAGTTACTACTCGTGATTCTGCTCTCCAATCCGCAGCACTCCGATGCCCAGTGGGTACGACTCGCGACAACACTACGGCATGGACCATCATTCGACAGAAGCTGCATGTAACGGATACAACACTGCTACAGAAGCAGTACTATGACTGCCATACCACCAACACTTGGTGATCTTCACACGTGGACCAGATACGGGTAACAGCATGCACGGATCGGACAACATAGCCACTCATCTGCACGTTACAGCACACTGTTCCAACCATTCACATCTCCAACTCCGACTTGCATCTGCCCGTCCTGGAGTTTGCCTACAAGTATGCTCCTGACGCCGCTACTGGACAGACGCTGTACTTCGTCTGTTACGGACGCCACCCGATCACACCACAACAGCTAACCATACCAGCCACAGTCCAACTGGCTTCCGATTTCATCGCCATCGTCCACCATCTTGTACATCGACCACACAAGCGCCCTCTTGGACATCCAACATCAGCACAAGCACTTGACCCCTTATCATTACAGTCATCCACACCATAATCTCGACATCAGCCAACTTCCATCCAAGCTTCAACCTTGCTTCTGCGGGTCTATCATCGTTGAAGCAAGGGCCACTTCAGTCAACTTCCGCTTCCGCCTACCAGCCACTTAGAAGATCCATACCGCCTTCCATACCAGCTTCTTAAACCCTATCAAGACCAAACACGCTCTACACCAAATGCCAACCACCGTCGCCGCCGGTGTTCATCCACGCCATGTGACAACTACGTGCTCGGACACCGTCATCGTCAGACTGGCACTCTGGAGCTTCTTCTTTGCTGGAAGGGTTATGATACTTCTGAGGCTTCGTCTGTGAACTCGACATGGGTAACGCCCGTCGTCCTCTTCGCGACTACCTTGTTAAGCAGGGTGTTACGTCTACCACCCAGCTTTGAGGGGGGGAAGTGTGAGAGTACAACCCCGTTACACCAATTTCCCCTTTCCATATTTCCTTTCTATTTCATTCCTCTTATTATCCTCATTCATTTGGTCTTTATCTCATCTCATTTGGTTTCCTATTCCTCCTTTTCCATTATCCTTTGGTTTATCCTATTATTATGATTATATCACCGACCAGGCTCGGGATGTACTGGCACGCTATATCTAGCATAATCCTGCCGTAATCCCTTATAGCCAATAGCCTCGCGTGGCTATACGCATGGTGATTCTATTTCTAGAAGGGTCTATTTCCTTTGGATAGGATAAACCTGGTTACCTGATGTAATCTGGAAGTATAAAAGCACCTTGTACTGAATGATAGTGCAACATTGAGCAAACCTTTCCTTGGGACATTCGATCCTGTGACAGATACTTCCCTTGTGAGATGTATCTCACGGTCCTTCTTGCTGGCCTTGGACCCGAATGGCGACAGACGCGCGCCTTCCTGCGCATGAATCCAAACCTCTCCGAAGCTGAAATTTTGTCGTATCTTCAAGCAGAACAGCAAGATCTCGACCTGCAGTCACAACGCAATCAGAAAAAGGGGGTACACTTGAGTTTTTACTCAAATTCAGAATCGCAACATCGTCATCCCCCGAAGTATCCCATCTGTCATTTCTGCAAGAAACCAGGACACACTTACCAGAATTGACGCAGCACTTCACAACCTTATCATCGCTCGCAGCAGTTACCGAAGTCACATCAGCCAACGCAGCAGTCGACGGCCCAGACGCAGCAGATGCCGAAAACGCCGCAGAATCCGTCGCCGTCACAGCATCGTCCTCCGGTCTTTGCATCTGCAACATCAGGAAAAGGGGTCTTTGGATGTGTTACCATAGTTGATGTTTCAGAAACAGATTTCGAGACACGACTTGAAGAAGCCACAAGTGCTGAAGGCATTCCCTTACCTCTAGTTTACGCTAACCTTGCTCGAATAATTTCAGGTCCAAATACTTGGTATCTCGACAGCTGCTGCGGTTGGCACATGTGCTCCGCTGAGACAAGCTTCATCACCAACCAACGCCCGCTTCGTCGTCCGATACCTGTCACAGTAGCAAACGGACAAACTATTATGGCAAGATCCATTGGAAGTGTCATGCTCGAATCAGTTGACACGTGATATTCACTACAGGTTACCAATGTTCTTATCATCGCTGGACTTGGCTTCTATCTTCTCTCCATGGCTCAGCTCCTGGCACACAAAATACGCACTCAAGGCAACTGTGATACAATGGATCTGGAGTTATGGCACAGTTTATCGAATACTTACCTCGGCCGTGCCGTCACTCAACATGGCATGTCCGTTCTTCAGTTCGCAGCACAGGGAACTTCTAGAGATTCTGAACGCGTCCTTGCACTTGGTCCCTGGGATCACCCAGAAGAAACAGATTATCAGCACGTGGATATTGACCTTTGAGCAACTACTGTCCCAACGGCTTGAACTGTAGCCGCCGTACTTACCGCACTGGATAACTGGGAGTTCAGTACCGCCGATGCATGCGCCAACGCTTGGCGAACATTTTATAACACTTGCGAGGCTCTTCAAGGGACTCCACCTCCACTTTGGGGAGAAATTAGTGGACTTGCAGCTGATGAACCTGACGTCGTTGAAGAAACCGAAAAGAAAGAAGTCGCCGAGCAGCTGCGTCCAACAGTAGCTGTCGCAGGAACACCTGCCACAACATCAACAGAAGCAGCATCCGAAGTTGCGATCGCAACTGCAGCAGCAGCTTCAAATATTCAGTTGCCACTTACACGTTTCGTTGAAGGAGAGATGGACAGATCACCAGTGCTTTCTCGTTTTATCATTTCTTCATTTTATACTAACGCTGATTTCTACCTGCGATCATCAGGACACAAAGACACAGAAGATATCTGGCATCAGCGGTTAGGACATCCATCGTAAGGGATTCTTAATCATTCAATACGAGCAGCAGTTCTTGATAAAAACAGTCTTCTTTTACCTGACGGCATGGAGATGAAGCCGCAGTCCCGTCCCACGGTTTGCATACCGTGTCCAGTCGCTAATCTTACCCATGATCTGTTTCCAAGTCACTTTCCTGGCTCCACACGTTACAAACTGATGCAGAAAGTCTACAGCGATATTCTTAACTTACCTGAAGCAGGTCCTAAAGACGAGCAGTACGTGATAACATTCATCGAAGCATCTACTCACTACGTCTGGACAGCAAACCTTCCCGCTCGATATCTCGCCCATTCCGTCTTTGTCGCATGGCTCGCCGTCGCTGAAAGAAAGTCTGGCGTGAAACTGCAAGAATTCCAGAGCAATGGTGCAGGGGAGTACACGAGCAACACTTTCACAGAATACCTTCAGACCCTCGGCATCAAACGGAAGCAGTCACTGCCGCATGCACACCAACAGATGGGGGTAGCAGAAAGGATGAATCGGACTCTGAAAGAGAAGATGCGTGCTCTGCTGACGCAGGCAGCTCTTCCTCCTCGCTTTTGGCCGTATGCGATGGACCACGCCGTGAAGTTACACAACCTTCTTTCTTCTACGTCCCTGCCGGAGTTCTCCACACCTGCATTGGACACGAACAGTGAGAAGTACCAAACCTTTACAAGTTTTCGGGTGTGTCGTGCAGTTTCGTCCTCCAACTGCAGCACTCGGCAAATTTTCCGAACGAGCAAAATGGGGGGTACACCTCGGCATCGAAAACAGTAGCACGCATGGAAGATTTTGGATCTTCGTTCCAACCATATCGTCCCTTCACATGATTGTCTCTTCTATCAAAGACTAACCTTGCCCGTTTTTTGTGCCCACCAAGCAGCAGCTGCCAACCCCGCCAGGCTGTTCGAAGGCTCGCGTGCATTTGCAACTGACGAAGCCGAAGCTGATGTACAGGACGAGGCAGTTTTTGAAGCTTCCGAAGCTGCCGCAACTAACATCCCCGAACCTGTCGCCTCGACAGGCATACCGGAATTTATTCCTCTTGCAGATGCTGACCAGGATGATGTTCGCGAAGTCCACCTCAGTTACGAACGCGATCGCTAACAGCAGCCGATGCCCGTCGTCTCCGACGAAGCAGTCCGTGTTACACCTGACGAAATTGGGGGGGGAGAAGGACCAGAAGAAAATTTCGCACATGCAAACGAAGAACGTCCGCGTTTTACAGAAACAGGATTACAGATACTGGGATTCGCAGGAGTAGTACAGTACAACGACAGTAAGATACCTGAACCGAAAACCGTTCGACTTCCTCACGAAGAAGGTGACACGACAGAAGTTTTAGTACTGTAACAAGCTTTGCGGGATCTTCAAGAAGTGACACTATCGAACTTCCAGAAATGAAGGGGAGTGTTGTAGTATAATTCAAACTTAGCATTTCTGTAAGTCGTTTATCGATAGATAGTGTAGAATCCTACTGTAGAAGATATGTCCGTAGGATGACTTCAGCAAATAGCGCTCGTCATAGGACAGTCGTTTTCAGTCACGCATTCAATCGCACCTCTTCATTATCATTTAGGGCGCATAGCGCGATAGTGACGAACAGGTAAATTAGCGAACAGGTACTTTCCTAGAGCTATAAATCCTTATTATGCCTTTTTCATTATTAACTTTTGATTACTCACAAGTTCACGTACTCATGTTATTCAACCTTGACTACTACATTTTACAAGACTTCCACTGTCTTACTAGTCTAGCATTACATTAAAGATCCTAGGCCAACAATTGAGGTTTTCCAAGTATTCGTGTTTGCAGATTTATACTTAGTCTCCTGCAACACCTGACAAATTATTACAGTGTCAACTTATACATATCTTTATATGTAGAAAATACAGGCTTGATATGATTGTGTTCTTAGAGAGTACATCTCCAACCCTATATCTTCCTTTTACTCTCTTGTTGCTAACCATTATAGTGTACTAACATGGTATCATGAGTCCCCAACCACGAAGGGACTCGAAACAAACCCAACAAGGGGCTACACCAAGTGAAATATAACACTACACGAAGTAGCATTACTATTTTTCACTATTTTAATATTTATCCGCGTCCCTTGGGCTTGAAATCTTGAGCTCTTGGTCTTGGTCCTGCAAAATCAATACTTCTTGAGTTGATGGGGGCTTGCTGCACTCACCTGCGACGCAATGGACACTTCACACTCGACAAAATAGAAAACGCATGCGACGTGCAAACGACGACTTGACATGCGAGTTGTAAAAACTCGCTAATGTCTTGACCGACACAAACCACATTGTGAGACACCATTCAAGCACACACACAAGCACAAGATAGCAATAACATAGACTCACAAATCATTCCATGCCATGCATGCACACACACAAACAAGGACGACAAGCCGAGTGCAAGCCATAGGGTTGCACCAACAAACTCCCCCTCGGATTGTTGGCCTTAGGATCTGCTCCCCTTAGTTAAGAGCCATCCCAGCAAGCTTGCAACACTTCCAATGCTGCCGCTCAACCAGCCTCTTGGTCATCATATCAGCTGGCTGCGCCGTCGTCTTCACATAGTGCAACTCCACTTCACCTGAAGTCGCCATGCTCCTCACCCAATGGCACTTCACCTTCATGTGCTTGGTAACGCCATAAAGTACGAGGTTTTTGGCCAATGCAATAGCACCCTGGCTATCACAATAAAGTGGGGTAGTACCTTGCTGCTCCTCCCCCAATTCAGCTAGCAAACGCCACTACCACACAACCTCTCTTATCGCACAGAAGAGTGCCATGTACTCGAACTCCACCGAGCTCAATGCTTGGTCCACTTGTTTCTTGCTCTCCCAAACTGTTGGTCCTCCACCAATATAGCAGATGAAGCCTCCCATACTTGTCATATCCTCTGGTTCTGATGCCCAAGATGCATCAGAGAAGGCGGTGAGAAAGAGCCTCCCGGGTTCGACTCCATCCGCACCCTTTTGACGCCTTTGTGCCGCTGCGGAGTATTGCAGTCCAATAGTTGCTGTTTGGCCAAGGTACTTGGCCACTCTCTCTCCATCTGCTACCTGCTCTTCATTAGGGCATTGGACAACCCTAGCTTGCTGCCCGGTAGCAAGGGCTGCATCTGGCCTTGTGTGAACGACCACATACATGAGGCTGCCCACCAAGGAGTGAAAAAGGTGCCTCTCCTCTTCACCAAAATTTTCCTCCCCTGGTCCTTTCACACACTTGAACCCCGAGGGAAGAGGAGTAGTTACATGACCTTCACTCTTCCCAAAGTTTGCAGCCAAGGCCTCCAAGTACTTCTTTTGATGCACTCGCATCCATCGCTTCTCCACATCTCGCTAAATGTGAAGCCCAAGGTAGTAGTTGACGTCACCAAGGGTCTTGCACTTGAACTTGTCTTGAAGCTTCAGCATCACCTCCTTCAAAAGGTCACAGGAGGGTGAAAATATGAGGATGTTATCCACATAAACCACCATGAAGCTCCCCTGCTCACCCTCGCCAAGCATGGACAAAGATTGATCGGCCGTTGAGGGAGTGAAGCCGAGACTTCCCTCAGCTTGATGTACCATTGCCTAGGGTCTTGCTTGAGGCCATAGAGTGCTTTCTTCAGCTTCCACACTCTGCCAATCCCATTGTTGTACCCCTCTGGCTGCTCCATGTAGGTCTCTTCCTCCAAAACTCCGTTTAGGAAGGCTGTTACGATGTCCATTTGCTTCACAACCCATCCTTTGATGGCCGCCGCGGCGAGGAGCGTTCGAAGGGTTGTACCCTTCACCACTTGAGCATATACTTCATTGTAGTCGTTCTTCTTTTGCTGATGGTACCCCTTGGCTACAAGTCTGCTCTTATAGCGCTCAATGTTGCTGTCGGCATCGGTCTTGCGCTTGAAGAGCCACTTGGAAGAGATCGCCTTCCGCCCCGGAGGTAGATTCACCAAGTCAAATGTGTCGTTCTTTATGATGCTCCCCATTTCTTCATCTGAGGCCTTCTTCCACTCCTTCCCATTGGGGCCCTCCCAAGCCTCCTTGGGATTAGTAGGCTCCTCCGGCATCTCCAGCGGAGAGAAGAGGGCAGAAGCGCACTCCTCGCTTTCATCTTCCGTATCATCGCCTAGCATGAGAGCCGAACCGGTCAAGGTTGAGTTGGCTGGTCCTCCAAGCCGGTCATAGCTCAACCTATTGGGGGCTGAGTCTTCCTTCTCCCCCTTCCTTCCTCCTCTGCTGCAGGTACTTGAATGCTCTCATGTTATTGCTGCAAATCTGGTCGGTTCCCGCGAGCACTTGTAGCACGAGGCCGAAGAGACAGTGCACGCTCATCACCTTGCTGCACCTCCTCCTCCTCTTCTCCCCCATTCATTTAAGGAGATTGCCTTGTGATTGTGTTGCTGCTACTCAGCTCCAAGGGCAGCTCCACATGCTCCAAGCCGGAACACTTCATCTCTCCAAGCCGCACACCAAAGTTCGCTTGGTTCTCCGCCTTCCACTCCTTGTACGGTAAGTTCTCCATGAACTTGCAATCTCTGCTCACCAGGAACTTCTTGGTAAATGGGTCCCATAGTAGCCATCCCTTGCTGTTTTGAGCCATGCCCAGGTGCACGGCCCATGTTGCCTTGGCATCAAGCTTGTTGTGCCGAAGTTTCTTAGGTACAAGTGCCATACACATGCACTCAAACACCCGAAGCATATCCATCTTCGGCTTCCTTCCAATCCACTCCATATGGGTTACATATTTGTCTATTCCCACATGGGTCGAGGCTCTATTCTTGGCCACACATGCATGCCGCACTGCATCCGGCCTAAAATATTTGGGTAGACCATCTTTAATGAGAAGTCCCCGAGCCGTCTCCGTGAGTGTCCGATTCACACGCTCAGCGATGCCGTTCATTGCAGGAGAGTAGGGCATGGTAAGAGAGTGCCTTATGCCCTGTTTCTTCAGCCAAGTTGAGTAGTCCTTGCTCAGGAACTCTCCCCCACGGTCAGTGCGAATCGCCTTCACAAGTCGGTCTTGTTGCCGCTCCACCATCGGCAATTAATCGGTCTTCACCGTTTCAGCTATGTCATTCTTCTTGGGCATCACATACACCCAAGTCATGTGAGTGTAGACATCCACTATAGTGAAGAAGTACTCAGCTCTAGCAGCTCCAAGTTTCAAGGGGCCCACCACATCCATCACCACCTCGTCAAGTGGAGCCTTTGCCGTTGTCTCCGAGCTATGGATCGGGTAGTGGGTGAACTTGGCTTGCATGCATGCTAGACAGCCAAGCACCTCATTGGGCTCCCCCTTAACACGTATCCCACTGACCATCTCTTGCTTAACTATCTGCTGCAAAATGGGCAATGCCACATGCCCCATTCGCCGATGCAAGGTCAGCCAATCACACTCTCCCGTAGCGGAAGTCGGGTTGGAGAAAGCGGCACTCGCAATTGTGCCCCACAAGCTCTCTCCTTTCTCCTTCGCCGCTGCTACTTTGCTGATCTTAGCCTTCTCCTTATTTCTACCACCTTTTGCTGCTGCACCACTCTCCTTGGGTTCACACGCCTTGCTGGTCTCTTCAAGATTGCACTCCTTCAAAACACAGTTGGTGTCACTTTCCTTCCGTGATTACCGCCACCAACTGCTTTAGTCTTTGTGCTGACGCTTGCTGCCCCTTGCCTCTCCTTTGGCATGGGGACCACTGGGATTTGACACATCTTATTGTAGATGTCCTTGTCCTTATAAAGGTCCCAAACCATCTGCCCACCAAGCCTCGCGGTATAAGTTTTGGATCCCTTGGAAGATGTGTCCATGTCGGCCTTTTGTAAACGACACACGAAAATCGGGTTGGCTGCAAGGTTGGGCACCCAAAGCACGTTCTTGAGGCCCACCATCTTCCCATCAGCACCCTTGAATATGGCCTTGCCCATGCCTTTCACTCTGCTCGCTGTCCCAAAGCTGATGTAACATGCTTGACCAGCGACAGTTCGAGTTTGGTGAGCAAGTCCGCACGAGTTGTTATGCTATAGGTGGCGCCGCTATCGATCACCCAAAATTCCAGAGAGTGAACGGTGACCTAAAAGCTTTCCACAGCACATGCTGCAGCTGCCGCTTGCGTGGAGACAAAGAAGAATTGGCCCGGGTATTGATCTTCACTAAGGCCTGTCTCGTAGTCTCCACCTTTCATGCTTGCCGCTTCGCTTCCACGACCACCACAGCCTCCATGACCTCTGCCTCTTCCTCCCCTTGCTCCTCTGTCCTCTTGGCCTTGAGAAAGGGCCCATCCATCGGGCAATCTAAAGCAATCTCTCCACATGTGGCCGGTCTTGTGGCAAAAGTGGCATTCGCCATCAAATCGACCGCGCCCACGCCCGTAGCCATTATTGTTGTTGTTGCTGCCATATCGTCCATTTCCACGGCCTCCATTGAAGTTATTGCTACCAAATCTGCCTTCTCGCCCTCTACCCCTTCCACGGTCATGCCCACGACCCATGCTTGCAACTCTGGCACTATCGGGACCGCCAATTCGCGACGACGGAAATCTTCTTGTACTATTTCCCGCTTCACAGCTTCGAGCGAGAGGCGGGGCAGAACTCGATTTAGGTTGATGATGAGCAAGGACCATGAGTCCGGAAGTATGGCCAGTAGCTTGGTCTTCTTGTGAAGGTCACTGTAGTTCAGGTCACCTCCTTCGAGCCGTGTCATCAAGTCAAAGAATTTCTGCACTCCTTCCTCCACCCGTTCGCCTTCGTCAAATCGAAGTGCCGCCATTTGCCACTACAAAACCTTAGCCACCGCTGCTGTTCTTGGAGCCTGTACACCCTTGAGAGCAGCCCATGCCTTTGGTCCCTTTGCTGGTTCACGCTGAAAAGGCTTGATGTGACGGATTTGGCTGCTCCCCAACGCTTGCCCAAGTAGAAGATAGCCTTGTGCGCTCTTCCGCACCCACGGGCTCTTCTCCGGGTCGTTCTCGGGGCGCTTCTCTGTTCCTTCCATCACCTCCAACAGATCATAGTGGTCAAAGATGTTCTCCATCTTGAATGACCACTCAGCAAAGTTGTCACCGTGGAACTTGTCAAGGCCAAACACTCTATGCTCATCCCTAGAGGGGCCAAGGCTAGGTTGCACAGGAGCAATGGGTGGATCTTGGTGTTGGCCTTGTACTTGGGCATCTTCGCTCCCTCCAGCACCTCTGCCACCCCCTTTCCCAGATCTGGGCATGGTCGAAATGGTTCCAAGGGGCTCTGATACCACTTGTTATAATCACACTAGGCTTAGATGTGCCAACATTGAGAGATAGAGTGCACAGTCGGATTTCCGTCAGTCCCCTTCAAATATTCATACCGATCTGATGGGTGCATTTGAACGGTGGTCTGTAAGTTGGATCAAGAGCGCGTTGCTGTCGCCTATCAGTAGCAAGTTGAATCAGGAATTTCCATGAAGAATTTACGACGCTATGGCGGTTTGACTAGCAGGAGGTATAGCCACTATATTCTCAAAAGTACAAACTTAGCAAGAAGAATCTAGATTGAGTTGGTTCCAATCCTCTACAAACCCCAAGAGCCGAGGTACAGGTTGGTGGTACACCACCACAGAGTCCCCAACCACGAAGGGACTCGAAACTAACCCAACAAGGGGCTACACCAAGTGAAATGTAACACTACATGAAGTAGCGTTACAATTTTCACTATTTTTATTTTTATCCGTGTCCCTTGGGCTTGAAATTTTGAGCTCTTGGTCTTGGTTCTGCAAGATAAATTATTCTTGAGTTGATGAGGGCTTGCTGCACTCACCTGCGATGCAATGGACACTTCACACTCGACAAACTAGAAAGACACATGCGACGCGCAAACTACGAATGACATGCGAGTTGTAAAAACTCGCTAATGTTTTGACGGACACAAACCACATCGTGATACACCATTCAAGCACACACATAAGCACTAGATAGCAATGACATAGATTACAAATCATTCCATGCCATGCATGCACACACACAAACAAGGACGACAAGCCGAGTGCAAGCCATAGGGTTGCACCAACAGGTCTCAGTAGCGTACCGAGCGGCGGCGGTTTCTTGCACCTGACGCTGGTTTGAGCTAGCCGTGTGTGCCGCAAGTGCAACTTCATAGGCCTCGTGCGGGAGAACGTATGCGTGATGCTTCTGGGTGTAGGCGTAAATGGCGCGCGCCCATCGGTCCGGGTTATCAATGTAGGCTGGTATGCGGGGTGCCATTGGAGCTGAGCCAGGATGGGGGCTAGGAGGGACGGGCGGAAGGAGGGAGGGCTGAACCGGTGCTGTCGGCGCCCTTCCTTCTGGTTTGCCGAAGACGATGTTAAAAAGGTACTACCCGTTGATGACGGTGGAGCTGAGGAGAGTGTGGAGGCTTTCTGCGAAAGAATGCAGTTGACTGGAGTGGTGCCATCGCGAAGGTCAAGACGGTCGATGGATGTCTATGGTGGGTGTATCGGCCGCCATGGTGTGAGTGTGGTAGAGGAGGAGGTGGGGCAGCGGCGATGGAGGTGGTGCAGAAGTGAAGGAGGTGGTGCAGCGGCAGACGGAGGAGTTGCATCGGCGGACGAAGGTGGTGCGGTGGCGGAGGAAGTGGGGCAGCGGCGGAGAAGGTGGTGCAGTGGGGGAGGAGGTGGTGCAGCGGTGAAGGTAGTGGCGGACGGAGGAGGTGCAGCGGCGGACGGAGGTGGTGCAGCGGCGGAGGAAGTGGGGCAGCAGCAGAAAAGGTGGTGCAGCAGGGGAAGAGGTGGTGCAGCGGTGAACGAGGTGGTGCAGCAGCGGACGGAGGTGGTGCAGCGGCGGAGGAGGCGGGTCAGCGGGGGAGGAGGTGCAGCAGTGGGGGAAGGAGGTGAGCAGTGCAGCAGTGGCGGAGCGGGTGGCGAGGGGCAGCGATTAAGGCAGCGGCGACGTCGAAGGCAGCTGCGGCGACGAAGGCAGCAAGCACAGCGACAGGAGGGATGGACGGGACCGTTCCGACTGAAGAAGGGGCGCGAGAGCGCGCAGGCGCAGGTGGCGCCAAGCGAGGGACGGGAGCGCGGAGTGCGCTGGCGTGGGAATCCGCCGCGACGAAATTTCGAGCAGCGAAATTCATCGCGATGAATTTTCTAGCGGCGAAATTCGTCGCGCGGAATGCAGGCTGAGAGAGCGGGGAAGGGGTGCGATGACACGCAGGTGCGGTGGGCGCCGAGAAGGAAAAATTATGCCAAGGGAGGATCGAGCAGGGCATGAGCCAGAAATTCTGATAACCATGTTAGAAACTGTAGAGAGAATGAATTTACTATAGAGGTAGATGGTACAGGGTTATATACCTAGGGGGCCAATCCTAGGTCAAGAGGTGCTTGACCAACTCACCATTATTGGTTGGACCAATAATGGTTGGGAGGGTTGGACCACCAATAATTGAAGAGCTAATAATGTTGGTGGAAGACCAACAAGATTGAACACCTCGATAGTTGGGGTCAAGGATTGGTTAAATATCCAACCCCAACATGTATCTACACCTCTAGATAGCCCAACTTGGTTATAGATACCCAAGTATAAGAAACTATGTAGGATAAAGAGAATGGTACATTCTGACAGGAATAACTAGTCCAACCTCTGAGGTAGGGGTCAAAAGACCAGTCAGCAAGAGTACAAACAAGACAACAAGCGACGACGGGGGAGGCGAAGGCAGGAGGGGAGGAAGAGACGTGTGGGAACGAAGCAACATAGGGTGAGAATGCTGAACAGGAGAGACAGGACGAGCACGAGAGGGACGGCGAGACCAGACGCGAGATGGAGGCATCTAGTCAGGAGACAGAGGAGGAGGCACAAGAGGGGAACGAGGGGGAAGACGAGCCGGAGACGAGTCTGGCGAAGGGAACACAAGACCGTAAACAGGAAGGGGAGGAGGGGCCGGGGGAGGTGCAGGCAAGCGGTCAGGGGAGGGAGGCCGAGCAGGCGAAGGGCGGACACCGGCGGCGACTGCTGCTGCTGCTGCTGCTCGACACCGACACCTGGACCGCCAGCTGCACCACGGCTACCACCGGAACACTCCACTCCAGCACCCGCAGAACGAGCACCCCCAGAGCAAGAACTCTCTCCAGCACCAATGCCACCCCCAGGCCTGCCAGGACAAGCCACGATAGGAACCCCAAGACTGGCACCCTCCTCAACGCCAGCACCCCCAGAGTCCACGGACAGCTGCTGCTGCTACGGCGGCGGTGGCGGTGGCTGCTGCTGCGGCTGCGACGACGTCTGCGACTACAGTGACGGCGGAGGAGGAGACACCGGGGGAGAAACAGGTGGCGAGAACTACCCCGCAGGGCCACCCGAGTCAGCCGACTCCTCGACCGGGACAACCGACGGGAGGGGAGTGGCGTGAGACACACCAGACAGAGCAGGCCGGAGAGGGAGGTGAGCAGGGGCTACTGGGGGAGTGGGAACCAGAAACAGGGGAGGGGAAACCGGGAGACCTCGGTGGGGAAAGCGGTGATAAAAGAAGACAGACTCGTCGAAAGTGGCGTCACGGGAGTGAAAGAAGAGATGAGAGGGCGGGTGGTAAAAGTGCCAGTCAGACGAGTCAAGGGGGAAACCGAGGAAGACACAAGGGACGGTGCAGGCAGTGAGCTTCTCCGTGCCAGAGGCAAGAACGTGAGAGAGGCAGCCCTAGACGTGGAACGCGGACGCGTCACCAGGGAACCCGGTCTAAAGAAGGGTCGGCGAAACCTACAGCCAATGGGAGCGCGGCCACAGGTTAAGCTGGTGAGTGGCGTAGCGAATGGCGAACGGCCACCGAAAATGGGGTGCACCGGCATGAATCATGGAGGTACGAGCCACCTCTATGACCTAACCGATGCGTTGCTCAGTGACCCCATTCTGTTGCGGGGAGTCCGGTAGGGTGTATGACTGGGTGATGCCCTCCGCATGACAGAACTGTCCAAGCCGACCAGAGACAAAATCGCCGCCATGGTCGGAGTGGAGACACAGCACAGGGAGATCGCAGTGGAGGTGCGCAGCTACGACCCATGGGATAAGAACATCAGGCATGCCGGCCTTCCACTCCAAGGGAAACACCGTGGTGTAGCGCGTGTAGTCGTCGACGAGCACGAGAAAGTAGCGCTTGCGACGCGGTCCAGGGACGGAAGCTGGGCCCCAGACGTCCAGGTGCAGGATCTGGAGGGGTGCGGTGGCAGGGCGAAGCGAGGAGGAGTGAGGAGCACGGTGCAGCCGGCCCTCGACGTAGGGCGTGCACGGCGGCGCAGGCGAGGGAGGGAGGGTAGGGAGCGACGCAGGGAGACCAAGGACAAGATGGTGCTGGGACATGTAACGCAGACGTGGTAGTGCGAGGTGACCTAGGCGGTGGTGCCACGTGTGAGTGAGCGACCGACACGAGCAAGCCGCAGCGACCTGGGTAGACTCAGGACCCGAGGGGGACGCGCCAACTGGGGGGGAAGCAGTGTTCAGCGTAAACAAGCCTGACACCGGGTCTAGGCTAGACAAAGCAAACAGTCCTACGCCTGACGCAGCAAAGGAGTTTGTACTACACACAGGTGCTATGCCTAAGCTAGAGAACATGAGGTAATAAGATCCGGACACACTAGAAGCGTCAGCATACAGAGAATGCAGGGCAGAACTAATCTGTCAGCGCCTAAGGGAGGTGTTGGCCCTTCAAGCCAATCTGGGCCTGCCCATTTGCGAAGTACCGACCTATCTGTTTAGGGACAACTCGGACAGAGGAGGGAGGGGAAGGGGAGGGTGCAGGGAGGGATGGGAGGAGAGAGGGGGGAGAGGAGGGAGAGGAGGGCGTGGATGGAAGGAGGAGTGGAGGAGGAGAGGGAGTGGAGGGATGGGTATGCAAGGGAGGGGGCATTGTGTGTGGGAGTGGGTGAGAATAAGTGAAGAGAGTGAGGGAAGAGGGGCTTGTGATTTGAAGGAGATTAGTATAGTGCGGAAGGGAGGTGGGGAGGAGGGGGGGGTGGGGGTGGTACAGAGGAGGAAGAGGAAACGGAGGGGGGGGTGGAGGGGGAGGAAGAGGAAGGGAAGGTGGG